AAATATTCTTACAACCACAAGATTGTCTCTTAATCTTAGTGAATGGCATAGAAGATCCTGGCTTCATTACTGGACCATGCTAATGGAAAGAGCTTCTCAGGAAATGGCAACAGGAGTTATTCAGCTTGAGCTAGGATGCAGTCATCAAGCTGCCTCTCATCTTTCTATTGTTACATCTTGGGTGTTTTAGTCATGTGCTTTAATTTTTGGAGGTCTAGTGGAGAAAGTGAAGGAATGCCTGTTTTACACTGAATTTCTTCACTTTCACTTGCAAGAGCCACTAAAGCATTATTCAGCACCACATCACTAACTTCTACCAGCATGGCTTTTGGCATCTGGAGTTAATGTTCTAAAAACTGATGAAGTCTATGTGTCACTACTTTAAATTTCAAACTTAACCTTTTCCTGTAAAGTTTCAAGACTCTATACAATGTCACTTGTTGACTTTTTAAGCCGAGTACTAACCTATATATGCCCTATGCTCCTGTTACACTGGTCAATCTTCCCTCAACCTACTGTACACTTTCACATTTTTCTCTCTTTATGGGATGCTTTTCCAGTTTTTTAAAGATGCAGTCCAATAGCTGCCTCTTTAAAAAGTTTGTCTCAGCCCAGCCATAGTAGCACAGCACAACTGTCCTGTGTGCAATGCCAGAAGTCATCTGATAAAATGGGGTTTGTTTCCTGGTGGACCTGTGATCCTGGCTGGCTACGAAACAGGGCGTCGAGGCAAGAGGATCTCAGCATGAATGAGGCCCTGTTGAGGGCGTCTCTCTTCTCTCTTCCTATCTTTTTCAGGAAATAGATAAACTTGAAAAAAAAAATGCTTTCTTCAATACCCTGACACCCAAGCAGTATTAATTTCAAAGCATTTTGTTTATAGTATCATTATCATTCCTTTGGAATCTAATTTATATACACTAGATGGTGAGTTCTCTGAAAGCAAACTTTGTGGGCTTTGCTTCTGTTTATATCCTCTTCCATTTCTCAGCACACTACCTTCTATGTAGTAGGTATTTAATTCACTTTTAACAGAACTCTACTTTTAGTACACAATTCATCTTTGCATAGATATCTTTTATGCCAACTCCTATTCCTTAATAATACATTGATATTTTAATAGTGCTTAGTTTGTAGGCAGTTAATTTACTATATCTTGCTTAAATCATTAAGTGTTTATTTGGCAGTAACTTATAAAAAATGTTGAAAATTTATTTTTATTTTCCTTTGTCAAATGATTTAGATTACAACTTTGTAGACACTAAAGATCACTGTTCACTACAATGTTATAAACAAAGAAGCCTTTGTTGGTACATTTTTTTAAAAAAAAAGTTTGCTTCTTTCCTCACTGATAGAGAAAAAAGAAAGACATGTGCTTACAGCTGGGTCTCATCAAGTCACAGTCCCCTCCCCTGCCTTCGAGTCAGTGAGAATCATGACTGCAGGTGTACTGGGTCTGTAGAGGTCCACCCGAGATCCAAACCCAGGGCTTTCCAACATGGCTCCAATATCACACAGCAGGGTCTCAAGTCACAGTCCCCTCCCCTGCCTTCAAGTCAGTCGGATCATGAGTTTGCCTGCAGGTGCACTGGGTGTGTATAGGTCCCCCTGAGATCCAAAGGCAGGGCTTTTCCACATAGCTCCAATATCACACAGCAGCACCCAGTTGCCTGCAGTGCCACAGCTGGACCTGTTAGTGACTTGTTTTGGTAGTATCAGAGTTCCTTGTGTTACTCAGTCAAGATCACAGAATATTATTTAATCTTTAAAATGATACGTTTGCAATAAGAAAACAGTGATGCAAATTCTACTCAATAGTGATCAGTCTCTGTTACAGAAAATCCTAAGTGATCGTCAATGTCTTTCTCTTTTCCTCATGTGAACCAACAATCCCCTATTGTCACAACTTTCTTGCAAGTTATTTCTTCCATGAATTTTTACTTGCTGTTTAATCTCCAGTACTGTTTACAGGGTCTGCCACTTAGAATTATGCGATCAGACTGACTCTGTGACCTTGTGGTTAAGGCAGCCAGATCTCCCATGACTGATCACTTGGTTCCAGTCCCAGAACTGGCGGCTTGAGAAATATACCAGACAGATGTGCATACCTGCTTAAAATCATGGAAGGAGAGAGAAATGGAGGAAAAAGAATTGCAACATGACCATTTCTCATGGAGAGAGGGTGTTTTCTTCTCCCCTTTCACCTCTGTCTGTCTCTCTCATGAGCACTAGTGTCCTCTAACCAAAAAAAAATAAAAAGAAAAAAGAAAAAAGAACTATGCAATAAATATAATAAATATTTATCAAATTAATGAAGGAGTAAATGAAAGATTGAATCTTCACAAATCCACACATTTAATCAGTTCTTAGTAATTGTTACTTTTTGTAGTCTAACTCATTTCTGTCTTCTATCAAAATTTATAGCTTACTATAAACAAAAATGTGTTCTCTACCTGTGCTAATGGCAATAAAATAATACTTTAAAGTCAAATAATCCTTTCCCACTAATTTAGATTTGAATGTTACTGTATATTTTAATGTGGAGAGCTGATATTCTGAGAATCCACAAGTTTTTACAATTGATTCTATTATTTTCTCTTATTTAAAAAATAAATAAATAAAAAGAATGAAGTATCATTACTGTCTACTTAAAGAAAGTCCAAGAAGAGGGTGAAATATTTTAAAAACATATTTTTTTCTAGATAAATCAGTCAGATACCCTGTGGACTAAATTCTTCTCAGCCGAGCTAATTAAAGACACATGAACCAGAAGTCTATAAATACAGAGAACATTAGTCAAAAAGGTTATTCCAGAAGAGTGCCAGAGAAGTCAGAAAATCAGACCTACATACAAGCTACCACACCATGACAGCCCCCACCACAGCTATGTGAATGGTGATTACCACATGAAAGGTTACACGTCCTCAGCTGCCCTGTGATCTTGAAGGCAGAACTCTTAGTATGGTGAGAGAGAGTTGTATAGGGCCCGCTAGAGTCTTTCTCATTTATTTCACTGGAGAAATTCTAAAAAAAGATATTATCATCTGTGAGAGCAAATGTTGAAGTTTTGATGTTACAGTAAGTGTCACTGGAGCCTATACTAAAAGAATACAAGGCCACAGACCTTGAAAAGGTGATGGAAACCACTCAGTGTTTTGGGCAAACAGGTTTGGTTGTCTTTCCATAGCTATTTCCCTTTCATTTTTTGCTAACAAACCTCTGATTTTATTTGTGTAGTAAGTGATGAGTCATAAAGGTTCAATGACATCTGGTCTAAGATCAGTGGTCTGCTAGAAACTGTTTATACCAGCTCACAGGGAGTTGACTCTCTTCCTTGGTTGCCAAGCCAAAGTTCAGTGACATCACCTCAGTAGCTTGAAACAGGCCAAAGTGGGAGTACTTATAACACAGAAATCAACAAGTTGTACAAATTAGGACCAGCACTCCCTCTGGCTCCCCAAACTAGGCATATCGATACTCTCCAAACTAGGCATAGCAATCTCATTTTCTTTTGCCAATGATTGTTTCAGGAGTATGACAGGGACAAGTTATGACCTATGACAAGTAAGAGAAATGCTGATGGAAGGCATCTGGGAAAGATTCCCTCCTTGATTAAGTTTAAAAAAGACTACTCCAATATAAGGATGTTGACTGAATTCATTTTGCATATCCTATACTGAAGAGACAGCAAATTTCAAAAATATACTTAATGTAGTATTTAGTAGAATAATTAAAATTATAATTTACCTAAATTCCAGTAAAACGGGAACATAAAAATGAATGAGTCTTTGAAAACTATGTAATGATGCAGAAATATGTAGCCAAATCTATGTGTAAAAAGGCAAATAATTTATAAATGTGTGTGTATATAAAATGGCAAAAATATTTGAAAATATAAATAATATATGTATAAAAATGCTGAATGAAAAAAATCAGAGATCAGTGGTTGTTATTTCAATGGCTACTAATATTTTCACCCATTTGTTTTCTACATTTTCAAAAGATTTTACTCCATTAAAATGAAAAATGTTTTAAAATAACTAGCAAACTTTATTTTCATTAATGTGTCATGAAAATATACTAGGTTTCTGGAACTCCTATACATGATGAGATTATATACACAGATGAAAATAAAGTATGAATTTATGTTGGTGCTAAAAATTTCGGAATCCATGCTAAACTTTTTCTTAATATGCATTCTCTATGAACTTTTAAAAACCCTTCATGTATCAGGTAACTTTAAAAAAAATTGCTATTCATGAGGATTCTTTACTTAAAAAAAAAAATCACATGCCAAAAAATGTTCTCTTATACATACAGAAAGAAATCGTGGAACTTACTTCAATGAGAAGCTTGCTTTTAAGAGAATTAAAAAGACTAAAATAGATTTAGTTCTTTGCTGTTACAACAGTCTAATCAAAACCTAGCTCTGAGGATATGGCTTTATAAGTGTATTTTCGCAGTCTTGTGGGATGCTACTCTAAGCTGTGATGAGAAAATCATCTGGGCTTCACATGGACTCTCAAGACCATCTGTGGCTGGTATAATTAGATCTTCAGATTTGTATCATTGATTCTTTAGACTAGCACTATCAAACATGCACTTGAATTATCATATCACATCTCAAATCAATTAAAAGCTTTCTTATTAATATATTTTTTTCCTAAATACAGAAGAATTTGGTTGGAGAAGAAACTTATAGAGATATACTAAAAATGGAAAAATGCCAATTTATTGGAAAAGCCTAAGACTGTCTACAATTGTTTACTGTTATGCATTGTCCATAAATAGGATTTTCATTTAGAGACACAGTATGACTGTTGACTTACAAACATTACAAGGCACGGGCTCAGAATCCCAGAGAACACTGATGACACACTGCCATTACACTATGACAGCAACACTTTGCTCCCAGAAAGCCCACCCATGAAAGGCTCCGTATCATACTATTTTTAAACATCCACAAGAGCAAATGTATAAATTAAAAGAATAAAACATACCAGACACAGCAAGGAAGTCATCAATACTTGTAATATCATCTATGGCTTCAGTGAGGACATGTAGATGGTTCTCCCATGTCCGCTTGTACATTTCCACAGTGTTTCTTACCACTTGACTTTTGGGTCTTGCAGCCAGAGCAAGTGCAGCATTAATAATCTGTAATGATAAAGAACATTTACACACTGATTTATTTGGGAGTAGTTACCATTGTGCAGATGACAGGTATTCTTTTTTAAAAGGTTAGATAAATTCACCCTTAACTACAGGTGAGATATGCAGTGGTTTTAGAGGACAGTGTTGAGTCGTTAACAGATTTCAACGTTCCTATTACAAAGGTTGTCTTGGCTTTCCATGTGAACTACAAAACTCACTTCTATGAGGTCATCTCTTTTCATTTTCACATATGATTGAAAACAAGGCATTTCTCATTGCGTGCCTGGAATATTTCACTTAACATTCCCTGGTCTTGTGCATGTTGTCTCAAATGGCAAGATTTCCTTCTTTCAATTGTTGAACAGTACCACTGTGTCTGTGTCTATGTTTGTGTGTGTCTGTGTGTGTGTGTGTATCTCAATTTCTCTATCCATTTATCTGTTCATTAACACTTAGGTTGTTTATATACCTTGGCTATTGTGAATAGTGCTACAGTAAATACTGAAGTGCAGATATCTCTACAGCATACTGATTTGCTTTAGATAACCCCACAGAAGTAGAGAGTATAACAGTGATTACAAGAGGCTGGGAAGTGTAGGGGAAAGAAAAGGAGAGAGAAAGATGTTTAATAAAAAATTACAGTTAAGTAAGAGAAACAAGTTCTAATGCTCCAGAGTACAGTAGGATAACTACAGATAACATTGCTTTATTATATATCTCAGATTAGCTAAAAGAGGAGTGACTGCTTCCAATGCTGTTATGACCAAGGTCTGAGAGAATGGATATCTGAATTGTTCTGATTTGATCATACACATTGCACACGCATTGAAAATCAAACTATACCCAACTGTGATGTATAATTATTATGTTAATAAAAAAGAAAACAAAAAGAAGTCACACAGTTCTTAATCAGAGAAGTGAAACTGGAGCACTTAAAAATAAAAAGCAATTATTTCCTTACTCTTCATTTATTTATGCATTTAAGTAAATTGTTACTGTGTATCAATAATGTGTCAGATTATGCACAGGACAGATATTACAATGAAAAAGATGCCATCACAGTTTCTGTCCTAAAACAGCCTATAATCTAGTGGGGGAATCAGCCAAAATCCAGATAATTACAACATGCCACTGTCTATCAGATTTTAGTGTTTATCAGAATCACTGTAGGACTTATTAAAACACAGATTCCTGAGCCACGTTCCTAGAGTTCTGATTTAGTTCATCTAGGGTGAGGACTTAAAATTTTTATTTCTAAGACATTTTCCAGTTGATACTGATGCTACTAGTCTGGGACTCCACTCAGAATTTCTCCAATACACAATGACCAGTATTATAAGTTAGGGGCTATCATACGGGTAAACATAAGCCTTTACAACACACGGGAAGGGTACACAGTTTCAAAAGGAAACATGTCCCAAAGGACTAAAATCTGAAAAATGAGTTCAAATTAGTACAAAAACTGGAGAAATCTTTGGATTGGAGGCAATAACATGGGCAAAGACATACCAGCTAACTAGAGCCTGATTCCACCTCTTGGGAGATGACCAACATAGGGGAGATAGTGATAAAAAGGAAATCTGAGCCAGTCTGTGACCTGGTGGTTAAAGAGCTGGATCCCACATGACCATTTGTGCAGTTCAAGTCCCATGTCCAGTAGCTTGAGAAACATGCCAGGTGCATGTGTGTGTGTGCCCAAAATCCCCAAAGGGAGGAAGAGATGGAGGCAAAGGGTTTGCAGTGTACTGTTCCCCCTGGGAAGTACTTTCTTTCTCTCTCTGGAGAATACATGCACCACCAGGCAAATTTAAAAATAAATAAATAAATAAATAAATAAATAAATAAATAAATAAATAAATAAATAGAAAAAGGAAGAAGAAGAAAAGAATGAACAGAATGGCAAGTGGGAGATGAAATTTCACCTTTAGAAAGTACTGACTCATAGGAGAAAAAGATTGAGTGCAGGTGATAAAAATAAGCAAAGGAATCATCCAAGAAGGAGGTGGAAAACAAGTATTAAAGGGTCACCGATGAAAAAGAAGTCCTTTCCAGAGGTCAAGTGCTTAGTAGAGGGAAGAACAATGAGGATGGAGAAAAATCGTTCTCAAATTTGGAACGTGGGAATTATTGGTACAGCAGAATGTAGGCTAAGAATTCAGATTTTACTGAAATATAACGGCAACAATAAAAAAGAAGCTTTTTCTACTCAGCAACCTAAAGGCTGTACCTTAGTGAAATTGCTTTCATTCCACAAACTATTGGACATAAGGGAGAGGAGAAATTAGTTGCTTGAAAAGATTATGTTGATATTCCCTTTCTTTCTCATGAAAAAGGAACATATTAAATTTTGAGGAAATATACAATAATAACTTTAGAAATAACTACTATGCAGTATACCTTGATTTTGGCTTCAGAGTTTTATTAACCTATTAACTTACAATGTACCTTTGTGTACAGCAAAGGCTCTGGTCCCTTGTGTTTCATTGCTCCTGCAATTGGACGACTGTGTACACATGTGGTTGTGCTAAAATAATGCCTTCACAGTGAGGCAGACTTTTAAAGTACTAGTCCAGAACCCTCAGAGGGAATACGGAGTAATGAATATAAGACAGGCAATATTTTGTAAGAATATTTTGAGTTCCACTGCTGATCCAATTTATCTGATTCAACACTGCACACTGGAAGAAAGTTTTATACTTCTTGACTTTCCTGATATTTAGTTTAAATCTAAAGGCAGACACAATTCAAATATGCTAACCTATGTAAGGCAAAAGAAATGTTCATACCAGTATCACATTCCTATCAGTTTAACTGTATAACTGAAGGGAAAAAATAATAAAAATTGGTAAATCTTCATCAATCACTGAATTTTTTTTTAATGAATTATATTGATTTCAGAGGCATTTTTGTTTCTTTAGGTTATGGTTAAAATGTAGATATGTCAGAATCACTTCATTGTTGGAAATATTTTAAAAAATTCATTCATTAATACATTCTCCATTTGTTAGCATTTAGATAAATTATTATTTTAATTGTTTTCAACAATGCTATGCTCAGCATATTTTTGTCTCCCCATTGTCTCCTTAGTATGGACTTTGCAACGTGAATTTAATCAACATTGTATATTAGAGCAGTCTTTTGTAACTTAATTTTAAGTGCTAGAAACTGTTTTGTAGCTGGTATTTTGGTTATAGGCAGAGGAATCTGCAGTCAGTAATCAATATAAAGGCTATTCTAGCTGCCTCTTATAAGTGGAATTACACTATATTTGTCCTTTCATGCATGGTTTATATCATTTAGCATAACATTTTTTCAAGGTAATTGGTATTGTAGCATGCATCACAATTTCACTCCTTTTTAAAAGTTTATCAGTGTTTTTCCTTCCTTGAGAAAGACTTCATGCCATGATCCATCCACAGTATTAGCCAGTCAAGGTTATGAGCACAAGTTTGTGTCTGGTTTACATAGGGAGGTCCTAGGATGGGAACCTGGGACCTTTCCATAAGGGTCCAGAGTTACATTACTATTTCACCACCACCTAGCCCCCAGAATTCCATTACTTTTTAAGACTAAATAAAATTCCGCTATAAGCCATAATACATTTTATTTATTCATTCACATGTCAATGGGTATTTGAGTAGTTTTCAACTTTTGGCCATTATGAATCATGCCATTACAACCATTAATGTGCAAATATCTGCTTGAGTCCTGGTTTTCAATTATTTGGGTTTCTACCCAAAAGTGGGATTGCTAGATTATGTGGTAATTTTTAATTTAGTCTCTATGTGTATCTGCCATATTGTTTTCCACAGGGGTTGTACCATTTTATGCTCACACCTGTGATGAGCAAAATGTTCCTATTTCTCCACACCCTGACCCACACTCATTTTCTGGATTTTGTTTGTTTTATACTAGCCATCCTCCTGAATGTAACGTGGGATCTCACTGCAGTTCCGATATGCATTTCCCTAGTGATTAGTGATGTTGAACATTTCTTTTCAGGTGTTATTAACCATTTGTTTGTCTTTTTTGCAGAAATGTCTATTTATTCAAGTCTGTTGATCTTTTTAATGTTATTTGTGGGGTTTTTTTTTTGTACTTTTTGTTGAGTGCTAAAAGTTCTCTATTCTAGATATTAATGTCTCATCAGATACATAATTTGTGATTACTTTCTCCCACTGTGTTGCTGCCTTTTCACTCTCTTGATAATGTCTTCTGATGTACACAATTTTTTAATTTTGATAAAATACAAGTGGTCTATAGTTCTTTTTTATTGCCTAGGCTTTTAGTGTCATGTGCAAGAAATCATTATCAAATCTAATACCATGAAGCATTTTCTGTTTTCTTCTAAGAGTTCTATATTTTTAGCTATTATGTTTAACTCTTTTACTCATTTCAATTTAATTTTTATATAAAAAGGGTAAGGATCCAATTTCTTTCTGTAGATATACAGCTACCACAGCATCACTCGTTGAAAAGGTTCTCTCTCCTTTTATTAATTAAATCATCTTGACACTCCCGGTGGTGTAGTGATTAAGGCACTGAACTCCCACATGGCCAACCACGGGTTACATTCCAGACCTGGAGGCTTGAAACTCACTCTGGGCACAGAGTGTGTGCATGCCCAAAGTCCTGAAAGGAGAAGGGAAGAGAAGGGACTACAGTTTGTCTGCTTCTTGGCAGTTCATCTGTGTGTGTGTGTGTGTGTGTGTGTGTGTGTCTCCAGTAAGTACATGCACCCTACAGCAAAACAAACTCTCTAATATATTACAAACTACGATAATCAAATCAGTGTGGTACTGATACATACATAGATATATGGATTAGAATAGACAGCCTGAAAACAAAGAGTGTGTGTGTGTGTGTGTGTGTGTATACACTATTCTCCATGCATACTAATCCATATATCTATGTATGTATCAGTACCACACTGATTTGATTACTGCAGCTTGTAATAAATTTTAAAGTGAGGTTATGTGAGTCCAACAACTTTGTCCTTAATT